AACGCAACAAGACCTATTTTCCAGTCACCAAACATCGAAACGAGATAAGCATTTTTCTCTTTATACAAACCTCTGAAAAGCAAACAGCGGATAACAAAGAAAGAGTTGGGGGGGGGGAGGGGGTGCTGTTCATGATTTAACCGGTTACAAAGAGTCAGTGAAAAAGCGAATGAATGGATGGGGCCGTGCGTTTTAACGACTGTGCGCCCGCATTTGGTTCCTCTTTTCAATGAGTGGCGCGCGTTTGCGGCATCAGCCGACACGAGGGGTGGACAGCGCGTGTTTGTTTGTTTGTTTGTTTGTTTGTCTGTCTGCCAATACAATGGTGGCACTGCCCTTCACTTTAGGAACTCCACTTTCGAAATGAACCGAACGCTTCCAAGATTTGTCTCAAAGAACGGCTTCTCGTTTTGCACACCATGAGGGTGTAGGAGTGGCGTGGAGGTAATGTTCATGTCGACACGAGACGGAGATGAAGGGTCCAACTCCATCCTCCGTCCTCTGTTGAAGCCCTCAAGCCAAGGCAGTGAAAACCCCAAGTCCTACCGCCCCAGGAGAGAGTCATCTTCAAATTCGTCGCCCTCGGAGCCTGAAATTTCGCTTCTGACGTCCAGAAAACGAATAAACTTCAATGATCTCGTGTGAGTCAACGTTTTGAAGCGAAGGTGGAACGGACAGCTCACTGCACTTGTGATCAGGTGTGTTTATTCAGGCACGTCCGGTTGTCGTTACTCCAAGAGAGCCACGTGGCTTGTAACTCGCTACACGTGGGCATGACTCACACTGCTCGCGTGTCGCATACGTCACGACACACGGCGCTCGGCTCTTCCACCCAGCTCACGTCACACTTAACACAGAATCGTCAGGATCGATATTCTCGCATGCTGTCCTGTACCTGCCGATAAGTATGACGTGCACTCCGATGGAATCCAATGTCGTCATCGGAATCAGAAGAAGACGTGACCTTGTTCGATCCATCGTCTCTGTCCTTTGCAGGGCCAAGCAGTGACCGATTCGCGTTTCAGAGGGTGTCTGCAGCAAGCTCACATTCTCTCAATAGACGACCCAGCGTTGAAAACGGAAATAATATTTAAAGATCCAGTCCGTACCGCGAAGAAAACACCACGCTTCACCATTACAAAAATCAACTGGTTAACGCGGTTTAAGGAAATGATCGCATGAGAAGTTATCATTGGCGCTTCAGAGGTTAAACCTCAGCCTGCGTGCAACACTTCACCTCTGTTCGGGCCTGATAGAGACGTTTCGTCATTGCATCTGAAGATGAAACAGCGAGCACGCAAGGATTTTAAAAAAGACGCAGACGTAACTATTTTAAGGAATTTTCCTGGAAAGACGTCATCCATAACAATGGGTTGATGCAACCGAGGGGCTTGCGCATGCGCTGTTCAAGAGACAGGGCGGATGGTGAGTGAGACAGGTTGAAAATCTCCTCTGAGAAAATCACATTCATTATTGTTATTACCACGTGGAGAGCAAATTGAAGGCTGCAGTCTGAGAGCGCGTGCAACAACCTCCGCCCCGCTTCTCTCACACTAACAGCAAATAAAAGTGCGCTAATATGACAGAAAAATTACTATCTTCTGATATGCAGCACTTCGTACTTTGTTACGGACTGACGGACGTTTCGGAGAGCGATGATGGAGGACAACATTCAAGAGGGGAATAAAGAAATTTGGTTTTAAGATGCGGAACGTAGGCTGTTGTGAACACGGCGATGAACATTCGGATTGCATAACAAACGGGGAATGTATTGAACAATTGCGAGAACGTCAGCTGTTATTAACTGACGTAACATAATAATTAAAAACAATTTCGAGTAAATAAATAATTGAAAGGAAAAGAATGTGTAGCGTACTTGTTTTGTTTCGATGAAATACGATATTTCTCAAAACAAACTTCTTCTTTTTTTATTAACACGGCCCGCATTAACCAGGCAGGAGCAGGAAGTGTCCGTGATGCTCACCAGACCTTGCGTGGCAGCACAGTCAAGACTGGATGAGACGGACGCCTTCCAACATGCTGACTCCCCTTCAGCAATCAGCAACAATCAGTGCCCCGACCACCTGCTTC